GTACCCCAGGACCGACTGCCAGCCCCCAGCCTGCCCTTCTGTGGGCCCAGACCTTTCGCCGCTCCTGGGGCTGGGGTAGAACGGCGCTTCTGATCCATGCTGGGCTTGCACGGGGCTGCGTCAAGAGCCTCGTCCAAAAGGACTTTCAGCTTTCTTTTTCTTTTTTTAAGAATTATTTATTTTATTTTATTTATTTTTATTTATTCATTCAGTTATTTTAATTTGACCAGAGAGATACTCAGAGAGAGAGAGGGAAAGTGAGAAAGCAAGCCACCATGTCCAGGACTTGAACTGTAGTTGACCATGTGGGAGTGTCCAGCACCACAACCACCGTGCCACCCTCTGACCCCAGGATTTTGGCTTTTTAAACACGGACAGGTCGTTTGTAAATGTCCACTTGCTGGTCGTCCTTAGCCACCACCCCTCCACCTCCAGCCGCCGTGTAGGCATGACTTGTCCATTCTGGGCTGTAGCTGCAGAGGGTGACGTTTTGAGGCTGGAGAGCCCCCTTTTGCCCCACTCACTCTTGTTTCCTGGCTCTCGATCAGATGAAAACCTCCCAGCCAAGAAGACAGACATCCCCTGGCGGCTGAAGCAGATGCTGGACATCCTCGTGTACGAGGAGCGGCAGCAAGCGGCCGGCGAGGCGGGGCCGTGCCTGGAGTACCTGCTGCAGCACAAGGTCCTGGAGACCCTGTGCACGCTGGGCAAGGCCGAGGTGGGTAGGCCCACCGCCTCTGGGCCCTCCCCAGCCAGAGCCCCCGGAGCCAGCTTCTCCACCAGGCTCCGCGTCCCGGCACTGCGGAGGAGGTGCGGGGCATCTCCCTGAGCACATTGCGGCCGCTCCTCTGTCCCCTTGCTCCATCAGCAAAGATGGCCGGGTTCCTGCCGTGGGCGGCCGTGTCTTAGAGGCAGTGGCCATTAAACCGGGTGGTCACCCGTGTGCTCCACAACGACCCAGCTATGGAGAGATCCAAGGTGGAAAGGGGGCCGGGAGCACAGGACGGCTGATCGCACAGCGCCCAGCAAGGAAGCGGCCTTAGGAGAGGGAGCCCTGGAGCGCTCGAGGGGGAGCTGGCGTGGGGCTCCCTGAGGGAAGCCATGGGCAGTGGCCTTGGCTCCCCGCAGACGGCTGCCTGTCCTGCCCCCAGTACCCGCCGGGCATGCGGCAGCAGGTGCTCCAGTTCTTCAGCAGAGTGCTGGCCCAGGTGCAGCACCCGCTGCTGCACTACCTCAGCGTCCACCGGCCCGTGCAGGTGAGCCCGGGCCGCGGGTGTGGTGGGAGGCCCCTCGTCCCTGCCACCCTCCTCCACTCTGCTTCTATCCCACTCCTGTTCCAGAAACTTCTCCGGCTGGGTGGGACAGTTCCAGGCTCCCTTACGGAAAAGGAGGAAGTGCAGTTCACCACTGTCCTCTGCTCGAAGATCCAGCAGGACCCAGCCTTGCTCACCTACATCCTGGAAGTGAGCGCTGCATGGGGAGTAAGACCGAGTGGGCCGGGCCCCAACCCCAACCCGACAGTGTGGACCGGGCCCTTCTGAGGAAGCACAGGAGAGCTCAGGGCCCCGGAGGCTCAGCTCCCCTCCAGTCCGGCCCTGGTGCTGACAGGCAGCTCACTGTGCTGGTCTCCACAGTGACCCGGCTCCCGCTCTTTGCAGGGTAAAAAGATAGCAGGGAGGAAGAAGGTGTGCGGAGAGTCCACCGCCCCGCCTACAGACACAGCTGGCCACAGGGACAAGGGCCACTCGCATCACAGCGCTCCCGACGGGGGTCCCCAGCAGAACGGGGAGCCCTGTGGGGCCCAGGCCTTGAATGGCCACCTGCCTGCCGAGACCGCACAGCCCGATGGTGGGGCTGGGGAGAGCAGCCTCATTACCTGCCTGCTCGCCTTGTGCAGGAGCAAGGTGCTGGCCGCAGGGATGGAGGGGCGGAGGCGCGGGCGCCAGGGAGGCGTGCATGCCGGGCGGTGACCGGGAGTCCAGATGCGCGTCCCTGACGTCTGTCCCCGTCCTCCAGAAGAGCCGGGTGGCCTTAAAGGCCCAGGAGAACCTGCTGCTCCTGGTAAGCGTGGTCTCCCAGCCCGCTGCCACCTACCTGGTGCAGAGCAGCCCCTGCTGCCTCGCCGTGGCCCAGCACCTGTGCCAGCTGTACCAGCGCCTGCCCACCTCCCTCGACCCCGCAGACATAGCTGCTCTGGAGGGCATCAGCTGGAGGTAGGGCCTCAGCGGGCTCTGGGCAGCTTCTTCAGGGCTGGACACCTGGCCTGTCCCTGCTGGCTGCCCTCTCCCCAGGTTAGAGCTGACCCTCACGGGCCTGCTCACCCTCCAGGGAGGCATCCCCCCGATGCCGCCCGCAGAGCCGCCCTCAGAGCTGATGCCTGGCCACAGAGGCTCCCCAGGAGGGGAGGGCCTGGCTCCCGGCACACTCTTGGGAAGACTGAGCAGCTCTACTTTCACACATGACTCCCCGTGTCCTCCCTTTAGGCTACCCAGCGCCCCGTCTGACGAGGCTTCCTTCCCTGGCAAGGAGGCCTTGGCGGCCTTCTTGGGCTGGTTCGATTACTGCGACCACCTCATCACAGAGGCACACGTGGTGAGCGGGGGTGGCACAGACGGGCTCCCACACGCTGCACCCTTGCCAGCTCCATCCAGGGGACTGAGTAGGGAAGACGCCAGATGTGTGGGGGCTGGGGGCTGAGCCAGGCCTGGGTTTGCTGGTGAGGCCAGTGGGGAGTGGGCCGTGGGTGCAAAGTGGGTCAAAGACGATGGTTTGTCACCCAGGTGGTCGCGGATGCCCTGGCCAGGGCCGTGGCCGAGAAGTTCTTCGTGGAGACTTTGCAGCCCCAGCTCCTGCACGTGTACGTCCAGGTCCCCTGGGAGTGGCCTTGGCCTGGATCGAGCTGTCTACCCCCCACCCCCTTCTCGTCCTGAAGGCCAGGATCCTCTTGCCAGAGTCAGACCTGTGGACTCCCGTGGCTGCCGTTTGGCAGGCCTGTCCCTGATGTGCACACAGCTCTAAGCACAGAAGCGCCCTCCTCCACTGCGGTCCGCAGAGGGCTGGGAGGAGACCAGAGGCGCGGTAGCCAGGGTGTAAGGAAGCCAGGCAGGAGACCCATCTCCCTACACTGCTTTCCTCATGCTCCTCATGCTCCTCATGCTCCCCTTGGCCCAGGCCACCAAGTCGCTCCCCCTACCTCCCCCTGCAGGGCAGAGCAGAGCATCCTGACCGCCACCGCCCTGCTGACCGCCCTGCTGCGCCAGCTGCGTTCCCCGGCACTGCTGCGTGAGGCAGTGGCTTTCCTCCTGGGCACTGACCAGCAGCCCGGGGCCCCCGAGGACAGCCCCCACGCTCTGTGCATGCACCTCACCCGGCACTGCGACCACCTCTCTGACGAGGTGAGGTGAGGTGAGGGGGCCCTCACCTCCTGCCCCCACGGGTGTTGCGCCCATGTTCCTGAGCTCCGCCAGGTGACCCCTGTGAGGCGGTGACGCAGGGCTCAGTAGCTGAGCCGCTGCCCAGCGGTCTGACCTCACGTGTTGATGGCATTTTCCGTGTTGCAAACTGCATTGGTGTGCATTTGGCTTGTTGGAGGCTGGCGACCCCTCGGAGGTGGGCAAGGCTGATATTCCTGTTTTCGGATGTGGAGACCGAGGCGCGGATAAGCCTTCCCGCTTGCCGGGTACACGTCACATTAGCCAGTCCTGGTTCCCGGGCCAGCACCCGCCCACACCCCCAAAACCTGCCACCTTCGCCCCCGCTGAGGGAGGAGACCTGCTCTGGGGATGTCCTGTCCGGGGCAGCAGGCCCCCCAGCTGGGTGGAGGCCACCCTGCC